GGTGAAAGTGGTGCTGCTGCTGGGCATGGGGTCGCCCAGACCGCGCCTGCCGGCGCGGCACAGCGAGCACCGAGCGGCATGGCCCGCCAGGCCGTTCACAGCAGGGTCACCCCCCATACCGGTACACAACAGGGGGTGCCACCTGGCGCGGTGATGATGCCGGGCTTCTCGGACGACGCTGATCGGCAAGCTCGTCAGGCGGCCTTAGTAAAGGTTCTCAACGGCAAGCGATTTGGCGACGTCCCACAAAAAAATTGGACCGAAACGCAGAGCGGCGACGAAGACGACGAGGGGGGGGGGTAGTCGGACGTCAAGTGGCAGAGCAGCAATGTGTCGGTAGAAGACAGTTCAGCTCCGTCGGACATTGGCTCACAGTCGGGAGATGTCGTGTTCGAAAAGGAAATTCGGGAAGCAATGACCGGGGGAGGGGGAGCGGGCACGAGGACCACGAACCACGGCAAGCGGGAGGCGAGCGCCTGCGGCAGCGTCGTAGGGAAGAACAAAGCAGCAGCATCCCATCACGCGAGTGCCAAAAAAGCCCGGGGCAAGGACTACCCGCACTGGGCCACACACTTTCTGAAGCGGACATGCGCGCACCGCAAGATCCCGAGGAAGTCGCAGAAGATCAAGGATGTCCTGGTGGTGGCCCTGCGATCTTTCGACGCCAACATGAAATGGCCATCTCCGTACTTCGACGACCTCGATGCTATCGCAGCCGGTGAGATGCTGGTATTGTGTAGATTCGTCGTCGATTAGAGTCCCAGCAGACGACACAGAGTATCGACAAAATATAGGTAGTTACTCTGCAATTGAACGCAGTGTGCGCAGAGGAAACAAAACAAAACTACTGCTATGTGTGTAGTGCCCGCTTCAAATCAACCTATTCGTACAGTAGCAGGTAAATAACGGCATGCTCGAGAGCTGTTTTATTTGCCCCAGTAGGTGGGATATTGAAGGCACTCACGGCGTACCACATGGCATGCTTTCTTGACGATATTCAATCGGTGGTGCACCGACCAATACGAAAATCATTGGGTGTTCTGTCCTCTCACGCCCAGAGGAAGTAAGGTAAGGTGAACGATGTTTTGTGGAGGACAGTCATTAGGAATATGTAGTTTTGCCAAACTTGGGCGTGAACACCTGAGGCTTCCTCTCATTCGAAGGCGTATTTATTGTCTGGACCGCTTTCTCATATCCGGGCGTTCGCGCAGGCGAATCTGGACGCGGCAGCGAGCAGGAGGAGGGGGAGGAGGAGGGAGCCATCCCTGCGAAAGCGCTGCTTATGCTTCGAGGCGTTGTCAACATGGTCGCCCTAGCACGTGACAGAACTGAACCGTTTACAGTCGAGGGTGTGGACTGCAGTGTGGCGGACCTTTACGACGCCATGGAGAAGGAAGCCAAACCGGAACTGGAGGATTCTGCCGGCGGGAGTTAGTCGACGGGTGGTGCAGCCGGACCGGACAGGGTTGGTTTAGCCGGAGGTAGTGGCAGCATCACGGAGCGCAAGGGCCTACACTGCATGATGCGGCTCGTTGGGATCCTGTGCGAAGACTCCATCCGCCCACTTGTCATGAGCAGCCGCTTGCAGGAGGACCCTCGCCACAATGTGCGTGCTGGGGGTAGGGGGTTGGTTAGTACGCATCGGACGAGAACGTTGTACAAAAACAGCAGTCGAAGTGTATGTTGACAACACATGCCGTTTATTGATAGTTTTAGGCATGGTACTCAACACCTCATATAACGTCCACGGACGATCGCGCCATCGTTTGAGGTAAAATGCCATTAGGTATCCAACCCCAAGAGCTGCTGTTAACGTCTACCGGTAACTTATGCAGTTGTTGCTGACGCCGACGACAATACTGCTGTAGATACTGCTGTAGTTCCTTCGTTGCCTATTATAGTGAAAGACATTGAAAACGCTCTGAATTTTTTCAAAAGAATGCACAGATAGCCAGACAATATGTTATGCCAGAAGAACAGGCCGGGAACAGACCGACATTGGCCCTTCCCGCAAGAGAGGTGCATTCCCCCCGTTCTTTTTTATTTTTCGTATCGAAATCGAGTTACATTCCTCGCACGTCCGGGGGGCGTCATCTTTGTAGGTAGGTATAAAGAACACGTGTATGGTCTGCGTTGCCCCTTCCCTCGCTCCCTCACTGTATGCCTGACCTATGGGTGCTGTGGACGTATTTCAGGTGAGAAAATCGTGGACGACGAACAAGTGAGTCACGTCAACCCGAACATCATCCAGCACCCTAAAATGTCGTCGGAAGAGATTACCAAGATGTGGTCTGCGGCAAAGGCGAAATGGAACACGCCTAATGCCAACTGGAAGAGTGAATCCGGCAACAACCAGCCATGGCCTTCATTTTGCCAAGGTAAGAGATGGGTGACGTAGGGCTGGGTATATAATAGCGTCTGTTTTCTCCAGGAAACTTGAGCGATTTTGTGGCCGTGGCGTCAATTGTGCCGATCCTACTTCATCGTGCAACTGCTGCTACGGTCGGAGTTTTGATATTGCACCTGGAGTTGTCGACAGTGTTGTAAAACGTACTCCCGGGATGACGCCCATATTGAGGCCTGATTGAAGAGGATTGTCTGCACCATGAACTTTTATCGTGTGTTTTGAAGCAGACCAAACGCCTTACCAATTGCTCCAAACAGACCACTCCCCGCCCGCGGTTTGCGCTTTGTTTTTTTTGCAGGAGACACGGACACGTACATTCTCGGTTGCGAAATCGAGAAATACCCCGAGCTTGACCAAGTGTGCAACAATCTCCTCCCGGAGGACGCTCAGGGAGAGGACGACGGGACCGGAGAGGGCGATGGCTGTACAGGCGGTGCCGAGCGCCGGGCGGCCGCCAAGCGGGAGGGCGCGAGGCTCGACGAGCAGAACAGGCGGGGGACGAAGCAGAAAAAGACGTGTGGGGGGGGGCAGAGCGTGGCAGAGGCTGCGTCTGTTGCCATGAAAACCGCACTCTTAGATATTGAGCCGCTCCTGCCACGTGGCGGATCGTAGAAGTCTGAGTGGCAACTGAAACAAGACGAAGAGGAAAGCAAGTCTGCTGCCCTCGATACCCAGGCTGCTGCATGCGCTCTGCAGAAAGTAATGTGCGCCGACCACCAGAAATATTCGGAGCAGATTGTGGAAGAGGAGGGAAAAAAGCGGCCGGGTTACCAGACGAGAGTAAAATTCATGGAACAAATGGTAGCAACGCTCGAGAAGGAGATGTTTGGATGCCAATAACACCCACATGCACTGCTGGACTTGCTTGCTTCCGTGCAATCGTCGAAGTGGAAGCGTGTGGGCGTGTGCTCCTGTTATGCATGAGTCGCCATTTTTTTTCGTAGCGTTAAGCACCAAGGATACGTGCGACCATGCAAAGACGTGTGGGTTTGGTTGGCAACAACAATTGAGAGGGTGCCTTGCGGCAACAAAGGAGTATCAAGGATAATATGTGATTGAAGAACGCCGAGACCGTTGTGGTTCACGGACGAGCTTCTGCGCCTCCAACCTGCGTACATGCATGTCGTTTGGTGTTGGCCAGTTTGCAAGACTCGTTCTTGCACCCCAATACTGCGTTGGGTGTTGGCGGTAACTCTCAGGCACGCTTTGGGTTCCATCATTTTGGAGCCCTGCAATTTACACCGTCTCCGCGCATTCCCACTCCAAGCGCAGGAATGTGTTGGCGATGAGACTCGACAAGACCCCCAATTCATAGTGGGTGTGTGTGCGTCCCCGTCAGGTTTGCAACCTGGAGCAATGTTTTAACCACGCGAAGAAACTTACGGTGTATGATGGATACTATAAGGAGTTGTTTCCGACCATCGTGGTTTCGTCTGGCGTGCTGTAAACCGAGATTATTTGTATGACAATAACTCTGCACAACCAATTTAATACAGATACAGTATCGACGACAACAACGCTTACGATTCATACGATCCAAACTGGGAAAAAAAAGTCGAACATGCCCACGCTTTTCGTGCTCTACCCAAAACAAGCAGCCTCCTAGACCTACCGTGCCCCGGTCTCGTCCGAACACGATTCATGTCAACCCGGCGCCAACATACACATAACCAAGACCCACGCACCGGCACATCATGAACCACGTGTACCCGGAAACTCATGGCCATAACGCTTGACACCGACACCCACAAAATATGGCAGCGAGATCAACATGTCACACATCACACCCTCTTACCAACACCCAAAACGCTTCCGTCCAGCGCCCTCCGCCCTCCACACCGAGGTACCNGTCAACCCGGCGCCAACATACACATAACCAAGACCCACGCACCGGCACATCATGAACCACGTGTACCCGGAAACTCATGGCCATAACGCTTGACACCGACACCCACAAAATATGGCAGCGAGATCAACATGTCACACATCACACCCTCTTACCAACACCCAAAACGCTTCCGTCCAGCGCCCTCCGCCCTCCACATGCGGAGAGGTCTCCACAGAATGCCCCAAGTCGAAACCAGGATGCCGAAGCTCTGCTTGATCTTGACTCGCNCTGTGATGAGATCCGCGCGTCCTCCGAGCTGCACGCGGAGAGGTCTCCACAGAATGCCCCAAGTCGAAACCAGGATGCCGAAGCTCTGCTCGATCTTAACACGAAGCTGGCTCAGGTGGAAGTTGAACGAGTCCTCGCCCGCCGGCAGTTGCCTCCCAGGGTACGGAGTTAGAAGCTTTTCTCCGATGGGGTAGGCGGCGTCACCAATGATGTGAAATCCGGCGGGCAAGCGGGCGACGGCCTTGGCGAGGGAAGATCGAGTCCATGCCACCCAGTCGTTCGTCGAGCCTGGAGAGATCGCCGACATTGCGCAGAGCCGGTAGTCGGCGGTGCACATCGCTTGCACGTTGATGCCGTACGCGGTCTTGCTGCCAGAGTAGTACGCGATTATTCTTTTGGTCTCTTTCGCAAACGGAGCCTTGGCCTTGATGAACAGACCATCCACGGCGGCGACGACCCACGAAAAAATGCCATCGGTGCTCTTGTCCTGCATTTGTAGACGGCAGACACGACGGCGGGAAAGTAGTACC